ATTGCACGAATCTTCGTGCAATGGGCCTCTAGTATATATATAAAAGAAAATTTATATATAAAATATATTTCCCCCTTTTTTAAATCTATCTATATATTCATCTATTATTGAAAAAGGAAAATAGAGAATAGATAGGCCTGAGTTGGTGATTGGAATTAATTAAGCTATTAGTAGAAGAAGAGAACAAGCGAGGAGAGGAAAAACAGAAGCAAAAAAAAAGAGAAAAAGAAAAAATGAAAAAAACAAACTAATAAACAATCAAACAAGACAGAAAGAAAGAAAAAGGAAAAAAAATTAAAAAGGAAAAAAATTTGGCTAGTGAAGAAAGAGAAGTGTGCATGGACTTGGAGCAGGGGAGGGGAAATTAGATATATGAGTAAGATCAATTTTTAACAGGGAGTAAAAAGAAAGGAGAAAAACTAAAGCAGAAACAGAGTAAGAGAAACAGGATGAAAAAGGGGAAAAGTGAGGAAGAGAGTGTTGGCATAAAGGAAAAGTTGAGATAGAGTAAAATAATGCTAAAAGAAAAATAAAAGTAGAATGTAGAACACTAATCCCAGAATAAAATAAAATAAAATAAAGAAAAAATAAAACTTTTTTAAAAAGGTAAAATAATAGTAGTAATAATAATAATAAAATATATTAATAAAAAAGTAAAAATTAAGTGAAAAAAGAAATAGACATTTTTAGTTTCTTAAGTAAAAGATAAAAAATAAAAAAGTGAAGTAGTGAAGGTCATTCACTTCCTCTACTGTTCTGCCTGGCACATCTGTTTCCTATCCGGTAGTCTGCACAGTGTTGAAGTTCCCTGTGATCCACAGCTCCTCTGTGTCATAAGCCACAACCTTGGTTTCAAGCAGGTGGGATCTCTCTGCTCACTTTGTTTCTCTGCCTGCCTTCAGTTGTATTTACACAAGAGTCAATTTCTGACACAACCCCTGGGTGCCTATGTTTTTGGATCAGTTTCCAGGACAAAATGGCCCCTCTACCCAGTGTTTACACTCTTCTTTCCCTGACGCACTTAATACTGGGTTGGAGGGACAGACTGACCCAGAGCTGGTTTCCTGCTCATCTCTCCTTATTCTGATCCCTATTTTCCACAGAAACAACTTTCCCCTGCAGTCTCAGTGAGTGTTTTTAATTGGAAGATCCGATGTATTAGACTTAGCAAGCAAAAGCAAGGAAGTAAAAAAAAAGACAAAGGAACCGCGCCGACTCCCATCTTTTCCCCCCCGGCACTGCATGGCCAGTATAGAACTTCAGGCTGCCTTTCTGGGCACAGTTTCCCATGGCTGTGGGCTTAGATCTAGAGTCCCCCTCTGCCAGCAGCCCTGTGGACCCCCTTCCACATTCAAGGACTACCCTGATCCCAAGGGCCTCGGATCTGGTGGAGCACAGTCTCCCTCTGAGATTCTAGTTCCCGCTGCGCACGTTTCTCCCTCCAGCCTGGATCCCAGATCACACCTCTCTCTAGGTGATCTCCGACCTTTCCATTCACGGATTGCCTCACCAGCTGTGTTTAATTAACCAATTCCAGGTGGATGTTGTTCGATTCAGCTGTTCCTTCTATCTGCTCTGTGAGAAGGCACAGGGCCTGTCTGCCTATTCGGCGCCACTTTCTCTCCCCCTAAACCAGTGGTTCTCAACCTTCCTAACGCCGTGACCCTTTAATACAGTTCCTCATGTTGTGGTAACCCTCAACCATAAAATTATTTTTGTTGCTACTTCATAACTGTAATTTTGCTACTGTTATGAATCGTAATGTAAATATCTGATATGCAGGATGTATTTTCATTGTTACAAATTGAACATAATTAAAGCATAGTGATTAATCACAAAAACAATATGTAATTATATATGTGTTTTCCGATGGTCTTAGGCGACCCCTGTGAAAGGGTCGTTCGACCCCCAAAGGGGTCGCGACCCACAGGTTGAGAACCGCTGCCCTAAACAAACTTTTTAGGTGCCTGCGGTTGGGAAGGCTGGAGTTTCAGGTGTTCGTGGGTTCACAGCTGAGGCAGCTGGTCCCTGGGTGTTGTGGTTGTAGGGACCCAGGAGGTATCCGAGGTCTCCCCGGTTGAAGGTGAGGCTGGGCTTCCCATCACAGCCACTCACCCCTTTAAGACGGCTTGATCTCTGTGGCAGAGCTGGCCGCTCTGGGAGAGATTTCAGCGGTGGTAGAGGCTGCCCGGCCAGGGGAGCATGGTTTGCCAGTCCCCAACAGTCCTGTGGAATATAGTCCCTCACTCACAAATACAGACACTACCCCAGTCCACACACTCTCCTTTCGCTCTCTCACTCACACACTATCTTGCAGCCTGTCGTCCTGTTGGCTGCCATCTTGGATCCCCCAGAGTTCAGCTTTTCATGAGGAAGCGTCTGAATTTGGATGGTGATGGAAGCACAATGATCTCTGTCCTTAGAGTTCAAGTTCCCCATGGGCCAGCCTCAAATCATCATCCAGCCCCATCTCCCTTTAACCCTCATTCACCTCTAGTTCAAGATCTCTACAACCCTGTTTGAACTTTTAACAGTATCACCTATATTCACTCCCACTCCTCACCAATCACTCACCCCTCAATGTCCAACAGTTTAGCTCCTGCCACCTTCCTTCCCTTCCCCCACAAAAACCTGCCCCTGCCACATCACCAGTGGCCTCCTAAGGACACTTTCCATTCCTTCTGTCACAACTGCTCGCTGCAGCCTTCGGCACTGCTGAGCACATGCTTCCCTCCTGGGCCTGCACACTCCTGTTCTCCTACCTCCCTGACAGTCCCTGTTCATCTCATTCAGGGGCTCTTTCCCAAGACTTGCCTGGACCTGCCACTTTTGTATTTCTGCTCAATCTCATCCCCCCTAATGATGATTAAAAACAAAATAAATAAACAAACAAAAAACTCTCAGGCCAGCCATAGACCCATATACTCATGTCTTCAGGATATCTCCACCTGTTCCAAATTGGGCTCCTCTTCCTCACCCAAGACCTGTTCTTCCCCTCTGTTCTCTAACACAATTGGTGGTGCAACCATCTACTCAGGCACCCACGCTATAAGTCAGGGTCCTCCTGGACTCTCCCTTCCTCTTAAAGTTCAACCAAGTCCTGCCATGTTCTTCTAAATTATTTCTCAAAGCATCCCCTCCCCTCTATCCCTGCTGCCATCCTAGTCCTTCCTCTCTCGGCTCCATTCCAGTAACAGCCTCCTAACTGGTCTCCTCCCTTTGGTCTACCTCAGATCCACCAACACAACACACCTGAAAAATCTTCTGGGTTCCTCTGTCCAGAATAAAATCCAAGCTCTAACCATGGGCTCCGAGTCTCTCCAGGATCGTTCTTCCTCTAGAGCTGTCAAAACGGTATTTCTAAAAGGCCACAGTTGACACTCCCCTCACTTCTGCACCTGAGCCCTACTAGTCCTCCCCTTCACTGCCTGGAATGTTCAGCCCAGCCCCGCCTCCCTCACACTGACAGTCACCTGGCTAGCTCCTACAGCTCAGGATTGCCTCCCAGGAGAGGCTGCCAGCCCAGGCCTGGGCTGCTCCCCGCTCTCCCTGCTTTCCCTGCCCTCCCTGCCACTCACCACATGCTTCTAGAACTTGATTTTGTCCTGTTTACCACCCTTGAGTTTACTCCCGAGTGTTCCCCCAGGAGCTGTGAGCTTCCTAAAATGTTGCTTTTTTCCTTCCTGTGCCCCAGAGTCTAGTATATGGGGTCTGGTACACAGAGGTGCTGAATAAATGTTGAGTAAGTAGTTGAATAACGGAACAAAGTGACCTGTGTCTAACGCATACCTGTCATCTGCGGAGACTCCGATTCCCAGCCCTCCAGCCCAGAGCTTGGCTCACTGTAGGTGCTCAGTAAAAGTTGCCCATATTTTGTTTCCTGAATTAATCTGATTTAAGGTCATGTCTGGGGTAGTTTGAAGTGTGCTAGAAGGCAAGGGTCTGGATGAGGGAAACTTAGCCAAAGGAGAAGCGAGGGGTGCATGGCGGTGGGGGAAGGGGCAATGGGGGTGTCTGGAAAGGTGGGAAAGAGCTAAGTCCGTAGCCTTAGCCTGCTGTCCCTCGGTGCCCCGAGCTCAGCGGAATCCAGCCGGGCTAGTCCGCCTCCAGCCCCATCTCCCCATCACCGGGGTGGCGAGAACCCCGCTCCGCGCTCGCGCTCGGCACTGGGAGGCGTGTGTGTCGCTTTAAAAGCTCCCTCCCCGCGCGGGGCGGCCCTTCC